TTTGTATAAATGTAATTTATGTAAGTGATCAAAGCCATTAACATGTGTATTTTAATTGAGTGAAAAGATTTATTATTTTGACTAATATACGACGATTATAATGACTTGAGCAGTTGATGATAAAAACCTATATTTTATCGATAAAATAGACATCCGGAATCATCTTAAAAAGGATTTTAAGTTATCTATTTTACCGACCGAATGTGTTATTTTTCTAATACACTAATATTTTTATTTGACATTACAAATTTTTTAACTATCCAATGAGCAGAATATCTAAAATCGACGCATAAAACAACTTTAAGATGTCTTTAAGATATCTTATAAAGAATTTTAAAAGATATCTTGAAATTATCTTATGCGTCAATTTTAGATATTCTGTTCACTGGGTATTTTCTATAATAAAAATATATACAATAATGTTTATTACATCGGTCGACTTTATATTTAAAATAAATAAAAATTCAAAAATTTAAATCTTTTTTATTAACTCATAAGAAGATACTTGTCTGTATTACTGATAAAATGCAATAATTTTTGTATTCTCATTTTTTATTAACTTTATAAATCTGGAAATCCTTTTCCAAAGTATTGAATTCACAATTTGACTGAATTCGATATTCAAAAACTTGTCGAGCAATGTCACGTGAGAAATATCGCATTTTCACAATGATAAAAATTATCCAAACAAGTGAGAGCTCGCTTTTATCATTTTTACTAGGTTTTTCGATACACAATCGACCATCAGAATCGATTCTTTTTCCATCAAATGCGAATCAAGAATTGACATCCCCAATCTTAAGATTGTATCAGATTGCCGGTTATGATTCTCAATTGACAATTTTATTTTCAGCCAATCACAATGTAGTGAATCCTGATTAATGTGATTAAAACCGACAATCGTAGTCGAGCAACCCGGGATTCTGGACCGGGATTCTCGCTTACCAACAACTATCGGTATCGTTAACTAATGACAGTTAATGACAGCCGCGCTTTTTTCCAAGATCATCCTTGCATTGATGGACATGTACAGAATCCTGATACGGCTTTTAGGGATGTCGATTCTTGATTTGATGTATCGAGAATCGATTTTTTTTTGACATCGATTATATGCGATTCTTTGGATGGCCAATTAATCGAGAATCGATTTTTTTTTGACATCGATTATATGCGATTCTTTGGATGGCCAATTAATCGAGAATCGATTTTTTTTATATTGAACCGAGAATCAATTCGTACTCACACAGCATTTTTCATTGCAAATACATATTAAACACGTAATAATATTGCATTTACATTACGTTTCATTTCATTTCAAATAATATATAATAATTTAATATATTAAATACTTAATTAACGCAATAGATATGAAATATCCAAATCAAAATATGTGTGTAATACATAGCATCTATTATATTATATTTTATGTCTGCGTTGCATTACATTTATATTCACTGTTTGCTGGGATATGTCCAGTCGCTATTGTTGTCAATAATTGTTTATTTAAAATTATGTGTTTTATATATAAAGTTCATAAATCTATGATGCAGAAAAACAATTAATTTTTTAATGATCAGATATGGATATATTTACCTTTATTTTTCAATATCTGATATTCAACATTTTTAGGAAAAATGGAAAGAGGAATATTAATCAATTGGCTATTATAGTTGTCAATAATTCAATCAAAAACATTTAGATATACATAAAGTACCAACTTGAAAAAAGAGTCACGTTTTCCTCGACAAACATTTTCATATTAAAGATTTTATTTTTAAAGTTTCAAGTTATAGAAACTCTTTTCCCAGAATAGTTAATAACCCGAATAGTCAAATTTGCAAAAACATTTTGCGCAATATTTATTTATAGATTTTGTAAGCAGTTTTTTGATTATGACAGATTGGCAGCTGAAGAAATTGAACAAAATTTGTCGTTTCAATATATTTAAATGGATAATTTCAGTAATGGTATATCTTGCGAGTAATTAATTCTAGAAACGTTTTGGAGCAACAACTAATTCGTTTAATGTACTTTACTCTTGTACATAAGGTCAATACTTCCATATCTTTTTGTTAAACAATGAGCAATAAATTCGATAGTGGTATATCTTTCAAGCAGATATATTGCAGATTCTGTTTAATGATTACGACCAATTTGTTGTCTGGATATGTTTTGTAAATCCTGTCGGCAGAACTTAAGCTGAATGCGAATGCAGTGCAATATGATGCCAGCTATTACGTTCTAATATATAATATATTTTGCTTGATCTAAAAGGTCAATTTTAAACTAATTAAAATTATAGAAACAAATTTAGGTAACTTGTACGCTCATAAAGACTTCAAGTCTAAGGCTTTTAAGAGGTTTTTAAGAAACTGTTATTTTTTGCGAGCAATAATTATATTATTTCTTGCCAGTAATAATTATATAATCTTTTAGACAATATAAAAGATAACTTTAAAAAATAAGAGCTAGTAAAATGTATAAAATATGTAAATATGTATGTTTATACCGCGACATTAATCTGGTTTAGTGACAACCATTAGTTAGTGATTTCCTGCATTTAATTGGAGCACATTTTTAGATTTAAAAGAATGTATCAATCGAATGCAAAATTAATATAATTAATATTAATCGCCATATAAACGTAGTATATGTACGAATTAGCACATTATTTATAACGTGTAGTCCATATCATCACTCGAGACCAATTAGCCGGATTAACATCACCATGTAAACGAATATACGAATATACGAATTAACCCCCCCCCCTCCCTTTAGCCCATAACCTAACCATGTGTAACCACGTGTAACCACTCAAGAATTGAATAAAAAGTATTATTAATCAAACGATTCCACTCGATAATTGAAAATGTTCGTACTTATTTCGTTTTTTATATATAATTATATGCTATTTACTTGTAATTAAAATACCTAAAATATTCTATAATCCGCAAAAGAAGGATCGAAAATGCTGAATAAATCTAGATCATTCAGAAACAATACAATCTAAATTTTACGTTTTTATTCTCGATAAATTGTCTTCAGAATTATTAAATCAGATTCTCGCATGTACTATATATAATTTTAAAATTATAAAACAAACAAAATATATAAAGTAATTAAAACTTACATAAATATGTTCTTTCCTTCATTGTAATCTTATATATCCTTTGGTAACAAATTATTACACACATTATACACAAATAAAAAATTTACAATCACAAACACTTTCCTGAAAATTTATGCTTTCATACATATTTTTAACAAAATTTTTGTTTAAATTAATAAAATTTTCAAACGTGTGAAAATAGTAAAGCATACGGCCATGTTGTACTGGCCATGATGCTCATGATACGTACTAAAATGATATTTTTTGCATGATATTCACTAAATTATATCACTAAATTCACAATAAAAATTAACACAAATTAATTTAACAATACAATTTTGTAGTTTATTTAATTTATACAAAATAATTGTCGTCCTTCACTTTTATTAGGAAGATTATCATCATTCAAATGAGTTATTATGTTAGTAATTATGTTAAAAGGAATTCACATAATTTTTATACACATAATTTTTACGTTAAATATGCACTAAATTTAAAAATTGCGTTATCCAATTATCCAAGTTTGATCGACTTCAATTTACAAACTAAAATAAATAGCACACTTCACAAATCTATTAAATAAATATTATATTACGTCATAAACACAAAAATAACTATTTATTTTATATAAATTAATTTATCCATCACGTGTTAACTGTACGGAACTGCTTTTAAGTATTAAGCTATCTAGTAAACTAAAACTGAGTTTCTATAACTTGAAACTGAAGCGCTAAACTCTACAAGCCAAAACTAGGAAAAAACTAGGAAAAAATATGACCAATCATAAAATAAGGAATATAAAATAAGGAATATAAAATATTTCAAATGTTTCAAATGTTTCAAATAAAGTAATACTCGTACGTAAGAAGATACTCATAAAAAAATATTTAAAGTAAACTTTATATTATTTATATATTATTTAAATATTCTTGTTTACTATATATTGGACTATATGCATACTATACACACACACACACACACATATATATACATTTAAATCATAATGAACAGGCCCCGGATGTTCGTGCGATTTCTCGTGCCACGCGCAGACGCGTGCGTGCGAATGAGTCGAGTGCTCGCTAAAGTGAGATAACAATATTATTCGATAGCATTATTAGTAACATTATCATAGTAGTCTTTATCTTTTTTGATATTTTTTGGATATTATATTATTTTCTTTCAATATATTGTATTTGTTTCATTTAACTTATTTATATCTTAAGATTCAAAAAATAATGTAGTTTTAAAATATTTATACTTCTAATAAAATTCAAACATTGTTTCCTATATTTTGTTTACGTTCAATAGACCGCTAGCCGAAATCATTAGTCAGGAGACACGGTAGCATCTCGAGTGTCAAGTCAATCGAAACACTACCGTGTGACTTTACGCGAGCCGGCGATTTGCGAGTACCCGAGATTATCGAATCTCATTAACGGCTGAATCGAGTTCAAGTTCTGGATAGGCGCAATCAATTGCTTGGGTTTAAATTATATAATAAAAGTGATCTTATTTTTGTTTATGTGTTCTATAAGCAGAGATATTGCAATTCAAAGATCAAATCTGTAAATTTACATTTAAGAAACGTTGTCATTATTATCGTTGTCGGCTTTGTATGGCTACAATTTTCGCCGTGAAAAGCGCTGACTTAGCCAGCTTAGCTCGGCTGTGTTCGAAAAATATATATTTTAGGACCGGAACATACACTTTTGCATAACGCACAATGTGTAACGTATAAGAAAATGAAGCAATCATGATTCTCCATTTTTACACCATAATGAAAATGAAAGACTCTGATTGGTTCATTTTCTTACATTTTTTTCATATATGAAAATTCTATAACATACTTTATGTCCTCTCGACGACACACGCGAGCGCTCATGCTACAGTGTGTGTCAGCCTATTCCGTCCACGTGCTACAGCGTGACTGCAACATCGTAAATGAACTGGCATCCCTAGTTTGGTCCTCTATTTGTACATAAGTGGTGAATCCTTATGAATCAGATACCCTGTATGTATAACAATTATCTTGTAATAAATTTAATAAGCTTCGTAATCGATAATCTTCCATTTTTTCAAACAAAAGTTCGTCCATGTCACTAAATCTGACTTCGATACATCTTATTTGCGTTGCTTAAAATTTTGTGTATTAGTTTCGCTTCTTTTATATAAAACCGTCCACTCATCTTAGTCGATGTTAAGTGCACAGAACGTGCATGCAGACAAAAAAAAAGAATTAAAAGGCAACGAAAGATTGCAAATACCACTCACCGACTTTAATTTTGCGATGTTATCCGTGTCGAAGGCTCAAAACGAATATGAAAGATAATTGTTACCTTGTTGCAATAAAAAACTAAAAATATCTGTTAGATTTTATTGTTATAATTAATATATAGTTTTTTTCCATTTTTTTCTTTAAATCTAATATTAAACGATACTTCATATTTCCTTCATATTCCCATATAATGCAAAAATTCAATATAAATTAAAAGTCATCTCTTTTTAAGGTACATCATTGGAGAAAGTGTAAGCGAATCAAAATTTGAAGAGAAATGATTCTCCATACTTTCCTCGTTATTACAACGTTCCAGTTTACACAATGTTGTATCGCGCGTTAAACGATGAACAGCAAACTATCAATCCCTCTGAACGCAGAAGTAGTACTCTGTTATTGCCATTTATTCGATCGTGTTTCGCGATGCGCGTAATCAAATCGATCTCAAGGGACGAATTATGAACGCGCTTCCATTATGAAAGAAAGGCATATGTATCTTGCCCTCTTCTTATATCGCGTGCCTCGGAGTCGAACGGAGAAATTGATCAAAAAATTATAATCGCAATGACAGTAAAAGCATCTCGCTAATACCGTTACAGTTGCCGCTCGTTTCGCATAAGAATTTGCATTGGGTATATTTTTAAATTTTTATCTGTTAACTTTCTTTCGCTGGAGGCAGTTAATTCATTTACTTCATTTACTTCATTTCATTTACTTTGCGCACGAAAACTTGGATATATTTTTATCTTTAAATATATTAGGAGATACAAACACATACTTCATATTTTCATGTAAGTCGCATAAAATTGATACAGATAAGTAAAAAATTAATATATTTACAGATATTATCCATGTCACGGTACATTGTTAAACATCAATGTTTCGTGAACATTGCAGTTCACTTCATTGCAGTTCATCAGGGCGAGGAACAATTTATCAAGTTAGAAGCATGGAAATCTTAAAAGTGAAGTATTGATATAAATAATTGCTTTTTCTCAACGACGATGTTGAAGTCAATGTACGAAAGGGATTGTCATTTGAAATTTCCGTCAATTTCCGTCCATTTTTTTTATGCATAATGCTGATAAACAATTGACTAATCGGTGTTTCTTCTTAATAAACTTCATTATTAATTTCGAAAATTAAAGCACATCTTCCCCAAATGAAATCAACACATTAATCACACCTCGTTTCGCAGGTGCATAAAATCGCCGATTCACCTTTTCGCACAATTTTCTCGTGTATGAAGTGGAGGAATACGTCAAGAAGCGATTGCCAGGAAGAGCATATGGTATAGCGCACGCAACACGTCCATGTAAGGAAATATAAAGAACTCCCTTGTATCGAATCCAGTATTCGGATCGAAAGAAGATATGCTAAATAGAGAGAGAGAAATCTGCAAAATCGCATTACAGAAGGTACAAATCGCGTAAATCGCTCGAATAAGTAAGTAAAAATAGGGAATGATAACATGATTCTCAATACTTATTTAATAATTAAATAAAATTGCATTTTAGAACTTAATAAATAGATCATTGAAAAAATATTCAATTTCTTAATTGCTATTCATCGAAGAATTAATAAAATTATAAAAAAACCGATTAGAATAAAAAAATTTACAAAAAATTATTTTAGTTTCCTATTTTTTTTATTATACATAAAAGGACAAGCTATTATAAAAACAATGTTGCAGTTAAACAAAGTAATGGTCAAATTGAATGTATGTAACAAATGTAAGCAAATTTTATTTTTTCTTCTCGCAAATTTATTGTTGTTTGCATTACTTGACGTTATGTGGATCAACAGAATCAAGCGTAAATATACTAAAGGTGTACGCTGAACATCGGTTTCGCTTCTCCTTTATATTCAGTTTTAAAGACTGAGATACAACTTTCTCAGTGCATTAGTTACGCTTCGTTCTGCAGGTGCACAAAATCGTTGATGTTTTTTAAATTAAATTGTATAACACGCAATCATGTTGCACATTGTTTTGATACAACAGTAGACCACAAGAGAGGGAAATTGTGCAGAAAATTGTGTGGGACCGATATGTATAAAGCTGGACCGCAGGCAGAAAAGGGGAAAAAAGGGAAAAAAAGAAAGAAGATAAAATAGAAAGAGGACAAGACATAAGACATTTGAAAAAAATTAAAGCTTTACCTTTGAAAGTACTTAGCAAATAAAATAATCTTTTCGGTTCTTGAGTAAAATCATTTGCATGCTTGACAGCAAATCAAAAAGGTTGTTTTCAAACATGAAGCTATTCTTACTTTTGAAGCTATTCTTACACGCGAGAAATGATGTATCTTACACGAGTTTCGCGAAAACTGATGAATCGACCTGCATCACGAATCCACAAGTTGGGAAAGGCAGGGCAAACAGCTCTGTCCAACGGACTAGTCTTAATCACGCGATGTTATTTGCGCTGAAGGTACGAGACACGATGTTGCCATTTAGTAAGGCGCATATCAAGCATAAAAAAAAAATGCAAAGGGAACGGAGAATGAGATAAGATAAGTCTGATAGGAGGCAAGCGACAGCGGAACGTAACCCATGAGAGGACAGGGAAGATAGAAATGTGATGAAATAAAAGGAACTTCTAATTAAATTTCTTTCGTTAGCCTGACGGCGACCTCCGTTCCGGGCTCTCGCTGCTTCTCATCGCCTCTGCAACGATTGCATTTTTTCCGCGATTATGCGGGCGCCACCTGCCCGCACGTGACTCGCGCGCTGCGAGAACGGAGCGGAAACGAGTAAGTGTAAGTTACGATGAACTGGCGTAATTGTGATAATGATATCCGACAGCCTATACCGCGTCATTTATCGTAACCCGGTTGAGCGACACTGGAGAGCTTACGACCACAAAATAATAAACCGGCGGTTTATCTGTACGTGATACATGTATGTGAATTTAGTTTCGTATTGAGATCATTCAAGCAGAACGTTTTTGGTTTTGCAGAATTCTTTGTAAATCTATTATATATTTAAGTTATATCAGTATTTAATTATATCTAATTATAATATAAAAATTTAAATGTTAAAAAATTGTTTTTTATTACTTCTTTGATCTTGATATTTTTGTGATATATATGTAAAATCGTCCATCTTCTATTCTTCAATATTGGGGTCTCTCGCTTATAGAAAAACTGACTATCGATGTGACTATCCATTATCCCTCTCATGATATTGAGAAATAAAGGAATGATCAAATGGACTTTTTCAGAGAAGATCAGTTATGATATTAATCTTGATCTTCTCTGAAACTGATCTTCTCTGAAAAAGTTCATTTTTATAGCTGTTAATTTTTCTTTCATTCTTTATATTCTGTTAGCTTCCATACTTCCGCTCCAAATAATAAAAAAATATTTTTATTTATAAAAATTTGCATATCATTTATAGAAATATATATATTTATTTTTATAAGATATATATGTTTACTTATAAAAATAAATATACATACTTGTATAGATATATGCAAATAAATCCACATGGAACGTGACGCTATCAAAGATTCACCATACTTTCACAGCCTTCATTTATGGCCGGTATTCAGTTTTTATATTTAAGATCTATTTATATTTAAGATACTTAAGCATAAGTTCAAATTGTAATACGGAAATCTCATTGACTAAACAGGATCTTGAAACAATCTGATACCTAACTTAAGACGATCTTAAATATAATGGATTCTATGAATACTGACCTATGCATAAATTTCTGGGGCCATTTATGTTGAGTGGAAATTTTAGATATATAATTTTTTCAACGAGTTTACATAATTTATAATGTTTTATATTAATTTATAATGTTATTAAATTATTCGGTCCTATGAAAAAGGCCAGAATGGTCATTCTCAGCCTTCTCTCTGATCGAGATAAAAAAATATAGCATCATCTATTGGCTAAATGTAGACACTATGTAGAAATGAAAGAGTATACCGAGAGAAACTAAAATAGAAATCGTCTATCACAAGATGTTAATTCATGTTGACTTTTGACGCTAATTTTAATAAATCATGTGATTTATCAAGCTATGTAATATCTGCATGCAAAAACATCTTAGAAATTAGTATTAAAATGATGATGAAGAGTCAACTTCGACGAAAGCGGTCATACACATTTATACTAAAAATAAAAAAAGAAAAGATACACAGTTTATATATACACTCATGCACACATCTTTGTACATATATGAACAAATTTTCATGCCAAGTTTTTGTATCACATTAAATATCTAAGTCTAATTCTAAAAACTCAATGTTGTTTTTTTCTTGTAATCTTCTTAGTTTAACAATATCAGTTTTACATACTGTAAAATTTTTATACAAAGCAAATTGATGTGACAACTCTTAACAACTTTGAACGTCATATTAAAATAACAAATGATAAAAATTAAAAATATAAGATTTAAATTAAAAAAATTTTTTTCGTTCTTAAATTCATATATTAAACACGTATTAATGCATAAACTTTAATTGTGAAAAAAATTCCAAATCTATAAAATTAATATAAAACTAAACTGATACAAAAATTATCACATTTTGTTGATAATATAGACGATACAGCATCCCCTTGCAAAGATTTGAGATATTTGGAGAATGCTGACATAACCGATCGTCGGTGATTAAGTTCAAAGTACTACAAGAGAGTGAAGAATAATTATTATAATTAAAATAATTTTATAACAAAATTATTTTAACCAATTTAATAAATGTAAAATATAATACAATATAATAATTTTTGTTATTACAAATAAAATATAAGTTTTCAATATTTATGTAATAAACGTGTAATTAAATTCGATTCTTGGAAGACAATAAAAATACCATATTATCAATAAAATATACGTTCAAAGAAAATATTATCATATATCAAGTATACAAAATATAAAAACAATAATACTTTTCATGATAAGCACAAAATATCCAAATTTTGGTTTAATTTAGTTTTCATAAAAAAGATTATTTAAATGTATTTTGTTTGAATTTGTTTTAAATTAAAAAAATTTTTGCGTATCATATCTTTTTTATGATTTAGCTTGCAAGATATTTACAAAAATAGATTAATATTTCAAGAATAAGAATAATAATAATTCATTAAAAAATAAACCGCTAAATAAAAACTAAAGCGACATATTTTACCGACATGTTTGATGCACTGCTACAAGGTTTCAAGAAAGAAGGATTTCTATAGTGAGCGCTTTGCAGAAATTATTGAATTATACCGATCATGTTTTACTTAAGTATTAATCAGGTTAATAATAATTTGTTAAAATTACAAACTTTAACAATTAAAATCATATTTATTTTTTTAATTTACATTTTATTTACTTATTATCCTTTTTATATATTTAAAAAATATATTTTTCTAGTTGCACGCGAGTTAATTATCCTATCCTTTTATCTTCCTAAAAATAAACAAATATTATTAATTAAAAGACAGATTAAAAAGTATAATATACATATATATATGCGCGCGACACACACATACACACACACACACACATTTTAATAAATTATAAAGAAGAAAAAAAGTGTCATTCTATACTAAGATTAGAGATCATTGCTTTTGAGATAAAGCAAAAATGAATAAACATTAAGCAATTCGTCACATAATATAATTCTTAATATCTTAAATGAAATAATAATTAACATTAATTAATAATATAGAATATTCTTTAGTCCATATCGTTTATTGATCTAAATCATATTTAATCCCAAAACGATGATGTTTAATCCCAAAATGATATTAAATCTGATTATTAGTATCATTAGTATTAACTGATACATTATTGTAATTAGATATAATAACAATATGTATCAGTTAATAGTACATATTTATTGTATCATATAAGAGTAACATTGTAAAATATTATAAAAATTGTAAAAAGAATTAGCAAGGAATAACTTAAGTCCAGTCGGACGTTTCATTCTTCAGTTACGAAAGTATGCGGAGTGCGCATAGTCAATCCTCACGCAGATGAGGATCTGTTGCTATTCTTTAGTACGTCCTGATCTCAAGCGTACTGAGAGGACGCTTGTAAATGTAGTTCGCGAAATTAGTTCGTGCGACTTCGTGCAAGGATTAAACAGCACGCCGACGTCATCCAGCACCAATCAGAGAGTTTGACTCGACGGGGCGCGATTAAACCGGGTTAATAAGTTGCCTAAGTGCAAATCTCTCCAAACGGCCGAGCGAGGGTGCGTTGTTCGGCTGGAAACTTCTTCTTCGCGAAAGTTTACCCCTGTAACGATCTTGTCCGCTCAACTAATAAATGGACTTCGACCATTCGCGGCTGGGTCTACTAATGAAAGTTACCGCTCGTGTAATCAAATAACTTCCTTTCTTTTTTTTCTCATTAAGTATATCTAACTTATATCAGCGTTTTCTAATCGCTATAAATTATACCTTAAGATTTTTTTCTATACGAATTACGTTGTTACGATGCGCTATAATAAGAATTATCATTATAATTATCATTATAGACATCCATTTATCTATTCAAAAGCGTCATATTAAGATTGAGTTTAGTCTACAATTAGTGTCTGAGTTAGACATCGTCAATCATTATCATTATATATTTTGAATACGATCATTAATTTTTGTTGTATCATTATACGGAGGAATGTAAAATTCGTGGGAATAGAGAAAGTTTTACAAAATAATATAAAATTTATGAGATACTAATGAGATATCAAGTTTTAATATAGAAATACTGTAAAATTAGTATCTTATAAAATTAATATATATTTTTGTAGGGCTTCGTGATTTTTTCATTCAGTTAAAAATGAACACAAACGATAGACAGACTTTATATTCAATTGCTTGGTGCGTCAGGCGTAGGATGGTATTAGACGTCGATTTCAATTGATCATAATATTGGATGTCGATTTCAATTTTTGTTTCAATTTTTTAATAATCAATCAGCGAGAGATTTTAAGAATTTTGTATTTAAGAATTACGCGGCGCGAGAAATGCTCGATCGACGCCGCGCAAAGTGACAGCGTAATAATTTCCCGACACGCCGGCGAAGGGTTAATCTCACCTGCATCTCGGATCCAAACAAATTGCTCCGACCTCTCATCGCTCCTCTCGCCTCTATACTACAATCTACCCTTTGCTTTTCCTGCATTTTCAGAGATTCTTGGCGCGCACCTGCGCGCGACACTTTGTCCTATGTCGTTACTCACCTCGTTCGCCACCCCCGGACTAGTAAACGTTGCGACGCCTCCTGCTGAAATCTCCCGTTAAATTATCGCGGACGGACGTAAATGCGGGAATGGCTTCGTCGCCGGCTTGGCCACTTTACAATTTCAATTAACAGCTCGACGATATACCCCTTTACACTCGAGTCGCAGCAACGTTTTCTCGCGACGAAGGGGGGAGGGGGGGGGTCCTGTGCCGTCTCGCTCGCCTGCGATCTTGAATGCATCGGCAAAATTTACGCGACGACGCGACGTAGCCATTATAGCGCGTCCGCCGATCGCGAAATTATCTTGCATGTCCGGTTAAAACGTCCGAGTCCGTGAATATCGTCGCGTCGTGCCAATAACGGGTCAGCTTGCGCAAAATAACGCGCGGCGTGGATCAGGCGCCAAATTAATTTCCCGCATTCGCTGAATGTATCGGCACGCAATTGGTTTTTCGAGAATTGCACGAACGAGCAATTGCAGCCGCTATATAGAATCCGTTATCCTCGAGTGGCCATCAACATCTGGCTTTTATTGAGCTTCGATTGCGTTATTGCCGATTTCAAAACGGCGAACAACTCTATGTTAACCGTTTAACATAGAGTTTTATAATAATAAGCATCGATATTATAACAAAAAAAATATTGTTTGGATTTATGAAAAGTACAAACATAAATAATCTAGTCATATAAAAATTCTAATTTCTTTTCTCATAAGTATAGAATTATACTGCGATCATTTACATATTATTTTGATAACATGTTTGGTGATATATTTTTATATTATCTCGTTTCTATCATATTAATCAATCTTAATTATACGACGAGGTCCTGATATATAAGATGTCAGGACAAGCACATGAGCGCGTCGGTCTTCTTTTAAAATATCAACAGTTAGAAGCATCTTTTGAGGAAAAACTGGTTTTAGTCGGCTCGATTAACTGGTGATTTACGCCTGATCATTTTGTTATCTCGTTAACCGGCAAAGCATGCCGGTGCAAGAACGGAGTAGAGATGCAGGAAATACTTTCTACTGAACATGCAGATGAAGCAACAAGATAAAAAAACCGAATATCAACGTGCGTTAATGCGTTCGCGCTCTATACCTGACATTCACTTAGTTACTTTCGGTTTTTTTTTTCCGTGATGATTATCATAATAATCTCCCAGCAATCGAATCTCAAGCAGCTGAAGGTCTTTCGTCACGCTACGAGATGATAGATAGAAGCTCGCGAAGCTCTTGAACGCCAGAACTCTAAGAGTCTTTTTTGAAAAGAGAAGCAGAAAATGCGTTTATCGCGCGTTCTAAGATATTCTCTAAGTGCACTGACATATATATATATATATATATATACAGAATGTTCCAAAATGATACCTTCCATTTGCCAATTCTATTTTATAATCACCTTCTCAACATTTCGATTTTTTCCTCAACGTTTGAATAAGATGCTATTATTTTCTTTCTTCATGGACACAATATAGTTCGTTTCAGATACTAAAGCTTCTGAATTATAAGGGAAGTTTTCTAAGAAACGGTAACAATATCGTCACTTTTTTTAACTTCCTCTTAATGAAAACAAGATACTTAAGAAAAAATATATATTTGTCTCGGGAAGTAGGAATTTCTCGACAAGACAATGCACGATTATGAAATGCTCCGTAGACGATCTTAAAATAGCCAGTCTCATTACATCAGAGACCGCATGGGCGAAAGATGTCGTGAACCGTGTTGCAGCGACGCAAATGTCACGGTTCATTGTATGGGATGAATGGACAGGCGTATGAATGGAGGAGGGTCAGCTGAGCGAAGGCACGTCCCGTTATTAAGGCACTTGCGATTATTGTATAAAAATGTTGGACTATAAATGTGAATGTATACATATCGGTTGTTGTCGGTTATGTGATAAACATTTTATTTCCTTTCGCTTCAATGCATCTGCATTTTGTATTGATATTCATCGATAAATTCTATGAGAATGAATAAGTCACTATTTTATGACCGAATTGATGCACTTTAATATACACTAATCAATTAGTACTAATTAGTATCTACATTATAAAAACTATACATTTTTTTATCCTAAAAATAATCATCAGGTTCTGATATTAATAGTAATATTATATCAGTAATATTATATCAGTAATATTATATCATAATAGTAATATTATACATCTAGTTAAAGATTGATGAAAGATAAATATTATTAAATCGCTTCAATATATTTAAATCGATTTCTGTCAAGAATCACTGGCTAAGATTTAAGGTTATTTTATATTTTTATATTACAAAATTATATTACAAAAAATACATAAAATATTATTGATTTAGTATATATTTTTCATTAAACAGTGATATAACAGTGAATGCAAAGCTCGACTATATTTAAACATAAAAATGGAAATGGATTAAATATAGAAAAACAAAAACTGCGAATTTATATATAAATTCAAAAAGGATTATATTAAGCATTAAAATTCGAATTTAATTGAAAATATCCATATTATCAATTTTCTATTTAAAATAATTAATAATCATGTAATAATCATGTAACAGCCATGTATCAAAATAATTAAAATTATTAAAAAGAAATTAATATTACAAAAAATAGTATTTGTATTGAAATAAGTTAAAAGATTTTTAATAATTTTATTAGTATGAAACTTTTTGGACTTAATACATAATATTATTTTAATGAAATATGTCGTGAGTATATGTGTGTATAATCACAGCTTAAATCGTCTTTTTATAATTGGTAAAGTAGTATTCCATTCTATTCTGTGGAATAATCTCAATCCCTCGATTGACGTGCACTACCCGATATCAATTCAGAGAATAGAATACATCTTCAGAAATGATCCACATTAAGATCTGCTTTATGAGCATGACCCGGATCTTAGATCGTATTACGGACCATGCAAATGCAATTTGGATGATAAATCCTTGACATTGCGACGGATCAGATGGTACATTCTCCAAATTGATGCGGGCGGTATCAGCGCGCCAACGTTGACATATGCACCTCCCTCATCGTCAAGTTCGTATGATTAATGCACTTGGACATACATTACGTCATTACATTATACGTCATATTTATTTCATTATATTGTTATATATGTGCATTCGCTAAAATAATGATTAAAGATTATCTCGTCTCTTTCTCGCGAGATTTTAAAATTTTCTAGATATTCTAAATATTGTCGTAATTAATTCTAAAAGTAAAGTACTTCTATGTAATTGAAAAGATCTCGCAATCCATTTCTCTGTTTGTATACTTGAGAAATACTCGCTCTGCAAAGATTTCTTTATTCGCAATAGTCTTTCGTAATTTTTCTCTCGTTACATTTCCACCGAGCCAACATTGACTCTTTGAAATCATTGAGCAATATTTCAGTTCCAGCACTGATTTGCATCTTCCTCAAACGCAATCCTGATTATGCCTTGTTGGCTTCTCCTCAACACGCTTATTTCTGAATACAATTACCGGTATCGCTGAGATTTGCATTTGGTATCATCAAGTAGTGCGCATTATTCGACTCGTGCACAGAATAGGTGTTTATCTCCGAGTACGGAGTGAGATCCTGGATCGCATGGATTATACGTATACAGGTAAAAGGGATGACTATATATTTCAAGGACTATTTATTTCAAGGACTGGTCGACGATTAAGTTTCGACGCTGACGGCGACGTTTTTCAAGAGGAGTCACGGCGGTAAAGCCGGTTGGCTGCTGGGCCGTGAGATGGCGACGCACTGACCGGCGCTGGGCGTCGTACCGGCGGCAGTCTCGGGGACGACGCCGTCGCCGCCACGTGGAGAGTGAATTTGAATCAGCCGCCACCGGTCCCGGCCTGTTGTTCCATCGTGTCGGCGCGATCGTTCGCACCGGTCCTCACTCGCGATTCCTCTCGCGCTTATCGCGCGGAATTTCAAGATCCGCGAGAGTACTTGAAGAGTCCGACGTCCGAGAAGAGCTGGCAAGATCGAGAAAAGCAAAGAGAAAAATATTTTACGATTAAAAAAAAAAATAAATAAATAAAAAAAAAAATAGAGAGAATCTTTCGCGAAGCTTAAAACGATCCAGAAGAGTGGATCGCGAGGAGATTTCACGCTGAAATCGAGCGATAAGCGGAGAAACGGATTGATATCAACTCAGCGAAGAAAAAAACCTGTCGGATCATCCTCGGTACGAGGTAAAATATTAGCGATTAAGCGTCGCGCGCAAGCCGATAATTGCCGAGATTGCGGAGCGAAGTATCGCTCGGAGTCGGAGGTCATTGTTCTCCATTACTAACGGGGTATCGACACGCCGAGGAGGAAAGAAGGAATCCGTAGATTGTCGCCGAGCTATCGTCAACAGCAATCACTGGCGTACGGAGAGGCTTGGCGAGACACGAGCAGCCAATCACCTCTAGCGAAACACGTTGGCACGAGCAATCGACCGCGATTGTTAACCGGACGGATACCGGTGTCATCGCGCATCACCGCCACGTGACACACTCCGGCTGTCATCGATTCCCGAGTAACAGCTTCCTCTTGCGCCACGTGTCGAGACCAGTGGGATCTGGGACATCCGGTGACTGACTGGACGTAGTCGTCGAATAGTCGCGAGTGCGATCGCGGTGAGGCAACATGAGCGAATGCGAGAACGTCAACTGAGATCAGCGACGTAGCCCAGTGTGTCACGCCGGTACGTGCTGCGTGCGGTGACTAGCTATCGTGACGTACACCACGAGTCGCCGAAGCGACGACGAGGATAACGAGGACGACGAGAGCAGCGGTGGCGGCAGAGGAGAAGAGCAGCCGGCGGCAGGAGAGGGAGAAAAATCAAGAAGGAAGTAGCAAGTGTCACGAAGGGACCCTTGTCAGTGAGTGGTAGACCGTGGTGCAGATCGTGGGGGCACACGGTGCGCGTGTGATAAGGATCTCGCCTGGGAACGAGAGAAAGAGGGAGAGGTGCAGGACGCGACAGGGGGGGGTGGGTGGCAAGCACGCGCAGCGGGACTCGCGCTCGATACGGGCACGCGCGCGAATTCGACACGATCGCCACTTCCGATCGCACCGGCCGGCTTGGTGCGGAAGAGGGCTGTGACCTTGCGACCCGACCTTGGAAATTGGCGCCACCGTCGATCACAGCATATCGTCTCCGGTCGAGAGCGCGGTTCACCGGTAATTCGTAACGCGAAAAATTCAACTCGATCGCGGCGAGACGCGCGAGTGTTCGGGGAGAAGAAAAAATTTTTAATTGGTACCGGGCTTCCGTTTCGTTTCCTCGACTTCCGGAAACGAAGAAGGACTGCTAGCTGGATCGTATACTACCTGTCACGCCGATGGAATGACTCAATATGCTGCCTAGGTGAGTGAAAACGAACGGGCCGATTTCATGTGAGGCATTTAACCGAAGGTGGTAATTGGCGAGAGGTGAATTAAAGGGTAAACGAGGGGTGAACGAGAGCCACAGGTAGGCCGCGAGGCGGGGAGGCGGAAACACCACTTTAGTGATCTCCGGTCTCGAGCCTTTGACGCTCCGTGACTCGAGGATTTCCTATTGGGGTTGAAGCGTTGGTTAACATCACGTAAAATTTCAGGGAACACAGTCAAAGCCGGCATTTCAAACGGTTGTGAAATTGGCGAAAATTCATTCAATCGATTCAAATGTCTGAGAGTAATTAAAATAATGTTAAACACAGACGAGAATATTACAAAATACACGTATAAATATTTGATTGTATAATTTTGTTAATTATCGTTTCAATAAATTTGATTCGAAAGTTAATTTTTGTACGACTTGCGATGTCACAACTTGCAGCATCTAATTTAATAATTGGTAGTACATATCCGTCATTGTGAGATATTCGTCTAAATAGTGGACCATAATGGATTCTTCTTCGCGAGTGAATTTTCACAGCTCTAAACGCATTCCGAAAGACAATGCCGCGTTCGTCATACACCTATGGACATAGCTACAAAACGGACTTTACTGCGCTTTTATTGCCTGTAATCCGCTCGCTGTACACCTGCGCTCGCAATGTATTCGCATGTGCGACACGCGCGGGGATGTGTCGCGTTTCAAATCCGCCCCCGATCGCGAGCGTACATGAGACACGGTGAGATGAGCAAATCCTCTTTCACCGTGCCGGCAGAACAGAGTCGTTGCTGCATAGAGATCGTTGCGTAGAACCTGTTACACTCAACCTAATCCTTAATTCGACAATTTATTACTCCTGTACCGAGAGTGCCGCGAAACCGAATTTATTCCCTGGTTTTCCCGGTTAACTCTCCCTCCTTCCCCCTTCTCCTACAAAGATATATGTATGTGCATTCTATTATTAACAAATATATCATACAATTATGTACAGGATATAATTTATATATTACTTCATTTAAGTATCTTTCATTATTTTATA